TGCCCAACGTACTGGACAAGTAGTGCAACACCCTCTTAGCTGCATCCATGTGCTCCTTCCGGTGACGGCCGGGAGCGACATAGCGTGCAAGAATGCTGAGAGGGAATGCAAGGTCAGGTCGAGTGCAGGTCATTGGGTACATGAGGCGACCCACAAGCTCTGGATACGAGCCACTCGACTCTACGGACTCATCCGAAGGCAGAGCTGAGAGCGAGTGACCAGTAGGCAGAGGAGTGGGCTCAGGCGAGGAGTACGTGAAGCAGAAGCGCTGAAGGACCTGCTGCACCATGTGTGACTGAGTCAAGGTGATGGTGCGGCGTGCTCTGTCCCGGGGGATCCGCAAGCCAAGATAGCTTGTCAGTTCACCCAGGTCTGTGCACGTGTGTCTCTTTTGCAGCTCCGAATTCACGTGGGCGAGTGCCACAGTGTCAGCAGTAGCAAAGACCAAGTCGTCGACGTACACAAGGACGTAGAACGGCGGCAGTGAGGTGTCGGTGCATAGAAACAGCGACGGGTCAGCAGTAGAAGGCGCGAACCCAAGAGCCGCAAGTGTAGTCCTCAGTGTGTCGTGCCACTCACGAGGCGCCTGGCGGAGATCGTAGACTGGCCGTCGGAGGCTCCACAAGGTACCAGGAGGGAACGACCCAGTAAAGCCAGGTGGACGGCGCAGCCAGATCTCCTCGTCCAGGCTGCCCTGTAGGAAAGCAGTGCTGAAGTCAAGCGAGTGGACCTCGTAGTCACGCTGAGCGGCGACGTGCAGCAGAACGCGAAGAGTGGTCATCTTCGGGGTCGGGGAGAAGGTCTGGAAGAAGTCAACTCCCTCTCGCTGACTAAAGCCTCGTGCAACGTAACGCGCCTTGAAGACAGGCGGAGAGCCCGGCGGCCGCTTCACCCTGAAAATCCACATGCCACTGACAATGTTCGCCCCATGTGGGGGAACCTCGTCGACGTAGGTGCCTGTGGACTTCCAGGAAGCCATCTCTGTGTCCATGGCCGATTGCCACTAAGAGGAGTAGGGACCGGCCATCGCCTCTGCGTAAGAGCGTTGGGTCAGGATGTCTGGTGCATCCGGGTCTCCCTCAGGGGCAACAAGCATGGACACGAGATGGGGCAAAGCGGCAGCAAAGCACTCAAACTCCTCCTGCTTGTCCTCAAGGACGTCAGTGCCAAGAGCACACTCACCCCCGACGGACGGAGGACAGACAGACTCAGACTCAGGAACCAGGCTAGCAGCGTAGTCTAGACAACAGGTGGCAGCAAAGTCTACAAGCTCAGTAACTAAGGCAGACGCAGCAGCAGACTCAAAGGAAGGGTCAGTGACAACAGTAGCCACGAGACGCGTGACAGTAGGACTAGAAGCACGAAGAGAGTCTGACCCAGGGTCAGCAAGAGCAGAAAGAGAGGAAGCAGTAGGAGACGGCAGTGGGACACGCTGTGGAGCAGTGGACGGACCAGGCGCCATCCGGTGAGTGCCTGGGACAGCAGGAAGACGCTGACGCTGGACACAACTACCAGTGAGAGCAGTACGGACAGGCAACGCAGGACGAGACTCAGGCAACGCAGGACGAGACTCAGGCTCACGACGCTCAGTATGACCTCCAGTCGGACCAGTGTAAGGAGCAGGACCAGGGAGAGAGGAGGCAGACGGTAACTGCGACTGCAGCTGGACAGACAGAGGACACGCTAAGGAGGGAGGAGGACAAGGAGGAGGGAGCTGACCAAGAACCTGCTGAAGGAGCGGAACGAAGTACGGCCGTGACCGTGCAGCGACACCACAGCTAGAAGGGACACCTGTACCAGGGTCCGTAGCACCAGCAGCAGCTCCAACACCTGGGTCCGCAGCACCAACAGAAGCGCCACCCCAACCACCGCCTCCGCCCCTGCCACCTCCCCTGCCGCTGCCGCCACCACCCCCACCGCTGCCACTAGTCCCCCGAGTCCTGCCACCAACCCCGCCGCCTCCACCGCCCTCACCGCCGCCTCCCCCGCCGTCGCCACTACCACCCTTGCCCCGTTTGCCCTTGCCGCTACGGCGCCCGCTCGAAGCAGACGCAGTGCCGACCTTCTCAGCACCAAGAAGGTCGACAGCAGCAGCAGAGGCGACAGAGGGAAGAAGGGGGGAAGGAGAACACCCCTCAAAGAACGGGGTACGGGGGTCGCCACGAGAGGCACCTACAGCGACTATGCTAGTCTCAGCTGCAAGCAGTTCCTTCTCGAGGAGGGCAATGGTGAGCTCAGTGGGGCAGCGAGCTAGGAAGTGGTCCCTGACAGCACGAAGTGTGTCAGGGAGGCAGGTGACTAGGTGGTAGAGAGTGAGCGAGAGTGGAGGGGGGTGCGTGGCAAGGAACTCAGCGGGCATGGCGGCACGGAAGCGGGCCTCACTAGTACGGAGGTGCGTGATGAGGTCAGCGACTGTGTGAAAAGAGGCTAGGTCGGGAAACAGGTAGGGGAGGGAGAGACGGCCTAGTGCGGCAGAGGCAGGTGAGGAGTAGCGAGCAACTACAGCTGTGTACAGTGCCTGTGCAGTCTTGTGCTGCCCAAAGTGCTCGCGTTCGTCTATCGGCAGGGAGTTGCGTATAGCGAAGTGAGCGTGGGCATCACGAGTTTGCCACTGTGAGCGAGCAGTGCTGTCAGCAGTAGCAGCAGGGGCAGTGACATGGCCTAGGGCGTGATCGTACAGTGAGATGTCATCCTTGGCTGTGAGCTGTAGGTAGAGGTGCAGGTCATCTAGCCAGGTGTCAAACTTCACTGGGCGGCCCTCAGCATCAAAAAATAGAACCTGTGGGCTAGCCATAAGAGCAGTAGAAGTAGCAGCAGTAGCAGTAGAAGAAGTAGTTACAGCGGCTCAGTTCGGGTAGGGCGGCGCGGCTCAGGTGGGGCGGCTCGGTTCGGGTCGGGTCGCGCGGCTCGTCTGGGTTCGCGCGGCTCGGCTCGGGTCGCGCGGCTCGGTTCGGTCGCGCGGCTTGGTTCGGTCCCGGGCTGTGGCGGTACCAGGCCGCTCGGGGCCTCTAGGGACGGTGGGCGCGGGGCCAACGGGGCCGTTTGGGGCCTTAGGGAGGTGAGCGCGGGCCGTTCGGGGCCTTTTAGGGGTCGACGGGGCCGCTAGAACGGTGAGCGCGTGGCCTAACGGGGCCACTAGGGGCCGACGGGGCCGTTTGGGGCCGCTAGGGAGGTAAGCGCGGGGCCGTTCGGGGCCTTTTAGGGGTCGACGGGGCCGCTAGGGAGGTAAGCGCGGGGCCGTTCGGGGTCGTTTAGGGGTCGACGGGGCCGCTAGGACGGTGAGCGCGGGGCCTAACAGGGCCACTAGGGGCCGACGGGGCTGTTTGGGGCCGCTAGGGAGGTAAGCGCGGGGCCGTTCGAGGCGGGCCGTCAGTGCCTTAGGCGCCCTAGGTAGGTAGGTAGGTAGGCAGGTAGGTAGGTAGTGGTGGGCCCTTAACAGTTCGGTCCTAGGAAGGACCTGCTCTATACCATGTTGGAATAACTGAACAAGAATGGATGAACTAAGAGTGAAAACAGTACCGTCACCCCCCGGATATATCCCCATGGGGGGCAATAATAAAACAGGTTTTTTCAAGGGGGTGGGCTTATAATCGAGTAAATTTATAAGCGCCGGCGTTTATAAAATGACATTCATATTTTTTATATTTTTTAACACCAAACTGTAGGTCTCGTGCTTGCCCTTTCAATCGAGTCGAAGTTACATGGGGTCGTCTGTGAAATTCTCGCGCGCGCTGGGAGACACACCCAATCTGACTCACATCCAGCTCCTGGCAGCTCCTGACAGCTCCTGCTGACTGGACCCGCATCCACTGCAGGGTCCGAATGTGAAGGGAACCGAATCTGCAACATATCTGCCTGCTAAAGTAAAAATCATTACAACGTTTTGTACACATTTCAAATTTTAAAGTTTACGTGCGCTTATAATAAAACTAGTTTTTTCAGGGGGTGCGCTTATAATCGAGGAGGGGATATAAGCGCCATATGCCAATTAGAAGCGCCAAGCGCTTATCCTAGGGTGGCGCTTATATCCGGGGGGTGACGGTACAAATACCTAACCCTAGAATTGTGTACCCCCTACAGGCTAACCCACTGTAGCCTAAACAAGCACAACAACATATATAATGTTTGACAGATCATAGGTTCTGAATACCAAGTGTTACGAGTGCAATTGAGCGAGCGAGCGAGAATTGCACTTTCGAAGCAAACAGTGCAATGAGCGAAGGAATGAGCAAGAACAAAATAGCGAAGGCCACAGTGGGAACGGTAACGAACTGTGGTTGGCGCGCGACAGGCATGTGACTGAGGTTGGGACTGAGGTCGGGAAGTGGCTCAGAGCGCGGGTTACCAGCCGAGCCGTGAGGTTGGGTTGCGACGGGCGAGGTGGCGGGAAACGGTCGAGGCGAGTGTCGCGAGTGGTAAGGCCGCTGAGCATGGCGAGAATAGTGATGCACGCACCAAGCAGGGATGCGGCGTACCGTCATCGCCCGGATATACGACATATGTCTTATCTCATACACTAAAAAAATAAGTCTTATAAATGGACGAAAATCCGTTTAGAAGATACCCCCTCATTATACATTTGCCCCTAACCCCTACACACAAATAGGTGTCTTATAATGAGGCTACCCCGTTTATAAGAGACACCCGTATAATAGACAACCCGTGTCTACTATTCAACACTGTCTTATATCCGGGCGATGATGGTAAGGAAATGGAAATTTCCTTACACACTGTTTGCATTCGAACTTTTTGAGGCGTGTGAGAAACACGACCAGAGTCGTAAAAGTTTGCAAATATGCGACGAAATCGCATGGCAAGGTTGCAACTAAAATACATGTCTTGAGGGAATGATGTATTTTGCTAGTCCAAAAGCATGATACCCTAACATATATAATAGACAAAGCGTTACGGTACTTTCACTTCGGCAAGGTCGGATAGCTCTTCGACATTACAAGGTCGAATACAGGTCTACATGCGTCAATGCTGCTTCGGATGATGCTTCAGATGATATCTGATTGCTCCCCAGTAGACTCCTCCTCCTCCATGCTCTTAATAGCTTCCAACATTGCAGCCAAGTTATTGGGATACGACGTCCCACTTCGCATCCCCTCTGCTTGCTCATCCACCTTTACCGCCGCACTCAGCACCTCCTTCCCCACCACCTCGTGCCTGATTCCCTGCAGCTCGTTGGCAATGGTGGTTATGCTGGGCCGGCTTGCAGTGCGCTGCACAGTGCAGCGCAGAGCCAGCTGGGCCAGGCACAGCACAGCATCATCTGGGGCGTCCATGTCCTGGTCCTTGAGGAGGGTGGGGTTGTTGGATGAAACGCAATCCTCCACCTGACGGGTCGAAAAAAGGTTGAGCAATGGGGGTGGGGATGGGGGCAGGGGCTTGGAATGGCGCACCACACCACAGCATCATCAGGGGCGTCCATGCTGAGGTCCGGGCAGACTGAGTTGAGCAAGAAGAGGCGGGCTGGGTTGATGGAGGAAATGGAATCCTCCACCTGGCAGATTGAGTTGAGCAAGAAGAAGGCACACACGTGCAAAGTTGGCCAAAAGAGGTTGTTGTGCGGCAAGAGGGTAGCTGAGGCATGCTTACACCTGATGGATTGAACAAGGTGGGTGGGGATGGAGTCAGTGAGGCATAGCTGTACTAACGTGTCAATGTGCCATTATGACTTCCTGAATAATGCCATCCTGCCTTAATGCCATCCTGCCTTAATGCCATCCGGCCTTGATGCCATCCTGCCTTAATGTCATCCTGCCTTAATGCCATCCTGCCTTACTGCCATCCTGCCATCATGTTATCATGGCAACAGCTTGTTTGCCAAATGCAGTCACTCCTGTGTTTTGGGGGGACTATTTTGAGTTTTTTTACACAACCCTGTTGTTGCATACTCGCCACCACGCAGAAACGTACCAATTGCAGGATGTGGCCGTGCAAGCTAATGACAAAGCCAACTTCAAAGTCACCTCTGTGCCGCACATGGAGCAACAGTGCGCAGAATGTGGCTGCTCGTGTCACCACCATCGGCAGTGTGCTCCTTGAATCAATCGCACTTGGCACAGCGACATCTCACATCTAAAAAACACAACATTCCTCACCGCACACAAACCAGCAGACACCCACCCATCGCAGAATGTGGCCGTTCTTTTCACCTTCGGCCAAACGGGGGCTGCGACCAGTGATCACCACAAGCATGAGCACACCGAAACTGCACATGCAGAGAAGGGGAGGAGGGTGCCAGACAGCACGCGGGGATGCCAAATTGTGAGATGCTTCACCAACAACATGGCCTTTAGTGAGGAAACACACAAGATGATGGAGCATGAGCAAACCAAGGCAAGCACTCAGTGAGACTATGAGCATGAGCATGAACAAACGGTCAAGCATTGACCTATTCTTATTTTTTTGAGCACATAGTACCATCCTAGCGAAGAGAGCTTTGTCTATTAGTTGCAATTTTTCTTCTCCTGCTCATAGTCCCTGATGGCAACAATACCTCACCTGTACACATCGGTGGCAGTGGTGGCCTTGGACGTGCGTGAGTAGATGGGATCCACATAGCCTGGTGTTCCCATCACCCGAGTCGTGCCCACAGTGGTGCCCTCGCCCACCCTCAACAGCCCAAAGTCACCAATCTTGGCCTGTCGGATGGTGTAATAGTTGAATCGGCCTGTATGTTATGCTGAGTTGTATGTATTGTATTGTACTGAACTTAGGATGACACTGTTCACTTCACGAGCCCTTAACAAGGTACAATAGAGTTGATAGTAGATCAGCTTAGGTTGAGGGATGTGGTCGTGGTGACTGTTACGAATGTTGCTGTATTGACAAATACAAACATGCTCGCCCCAACATGTTCGTGCTCGAGACGGACATGTAGGTGTTCGCCTTTTTAGGCGCCAAACAAATCCCTTCCAGAAAGTGATCGAGCGAACACAAACATGTCTGGTTCGCCTAATATACATGTTTGGCACATTCTAGCAGAACATGCTTGTGTGTTCGCCATTTTGAAGTCTTGAGTCGACTCAGAACACAATTGTCGACTCAAAGTGCTTGCTTGCCTGCATGCCTGCTCCGAGCAGGATGTTGGCAGGTTTGATGTCGCGATGCACAAGGCCAAAGCTGTGGAGGTACTCAAAGCCACGTGCCGCACCAATAAGAATGTCCAGCCGCTGCTGGAAGGTGAGAGAGAAGGACGCCTCTGCACAGATGCAGATAACATGAGATGAGAGCGGCGGAACATGAGAGTGGCGGAACTTGAGCCGTACAACGTCAGTGACAAATAATGGTGGGTGACACAATGAGTGACACAAGAAAAAAGCAAAAAAAAAGAAGGGGGTTCCAGGTGTAAGTGTGCAACATACCCTTCTTAACAAACTGGTCAAGGTCACCGTTGGGAACAAACTCGTAGATCAATATTTGCTCTGGACGTGTCCTCATGTCCCCTCCAACAGCAAACCCAATCAGCCGCACGATGTTGGGATGGTTCTTGTCGGCCATTTGCTGGACCTGCGAGGGAGATTGCAGGAACGGACAAGAACACATCAATGCCTGATAAATGACACGAGGAACAAGTGTTAAACGAAATGAATTTCACATAGCACAGCAGAATGCAAGAGGCATGTCATGGCGAAATGTATGGAGACCCAATGCGGAACAGTTTCTCAATGATTACCTAGCAGTTTTGCAGCCAAAAACGAAAGGAAAAGGCCCATTCAACGAACATCATTACTCCATCTAGCACGAATTTCTCTCTGCAAATCCACATCAAGTCACACCCGCTTTCGAAATTTCTCATATTTGACCAGAGTTGAGACGACCCACCTCTTTGTAAAAATCCACGTCAATCAGTTTGGCTCGCTTGACGGCCCACAGGGTGGTGCCATCATCTGGACACACACCCTTGTACACGTCACCAAAGGCACCCGAGCCAAGCTGGTTGTCAGAGGACCAGTTGTTGGTTGCTTTTAGGACTTCGTCTAGAGAGTACTCCGTGCATTGAGCTCCTGACATGCTGCGAGCTCGGCCTGTGATAGTGTTGGGTGACGACGGGTGGTAATGTGGGGTGAAAGGGGTGGGTGCAATTGTTGATAGAGTGTGGTGTGAAAGTGAGTGTGTAGGGTGAAAAGTGAGTGTGAGGGGTGATAGTGTGGGGTTAGGTGAAGGGAAGCAGAGACCAGGTGTAAATACGACCCTGCCAGCCGTTCCAGTTTGTCATATCAGAACCCAATTGTTGTCAATACTCTAGCATCCGAGGGAAGGGTTGGTAGAAGGAAGGGAAGATAAAAATGTGCCTCTAAACTTTGCCTCGTTTGCCTCATGAATGCTAAAGAGAGGAAAAGTCAAAAGGAGGAGAGGAGGAACAACGGATGGAGGTGGAAGGACTTTTGAGACGTCTCGAAATTCAAGAAGCAGGAAGGAACACATCGGAGGTGTCTCAAGAAGAAACGTTTTTCTAGACTTCTGGGTCTGTCTTATTGACTCTGGGTTGTTTTGGGTTTCAAGTCAAGGTGTTGAGCTTCAGAATTTAGAGGGATTATGGATGGACGTGCTGCCATACTTGCAGTCATACTTGCTGCACGTGCTGCCCGATCCTTGTGACCTCTCCACCACCACAGCAGCGTGCCAATGCCAATCACCAGCAGCATCACAGCAGCCACAGCAATACCAGCAATGGCTCCCATAGAGAGACCGCCTCCCGACTGGGAGGGAGGCGCTTCGGGTGAGAGGGGGGGGCTTGAAGAGGAGGAGGATGGGGTTGGTGTGGGGGGAGATGAAGTCAAGGAGGGGGCAGCTGGAGGTGGGGAGGGTGGGCCTGTAGCGTGTGAGGGATGGATGGGGATGAAACGGAAGGGAATGGGAAGCTGGAGAAAGGATGGGTCTGAAAGGAAAGCGTCACACGTAGCAAAAGAGTGAGAATGCAATTGATGGAATGGAAAGCACAGCAGATATGTGGCACCGATAGTAGGCCTTGTAGGCCAGGTAGGCAGCATGAAGACAGAGATGAGTATTGTGTATTGGCATCATGGCTTGTTGCATAGGGAGGGATGTGGCCAGGGTGAACAAAGGCACGTCACTGAACAGCAAAACTATTACACAGAAATCTGATGCTTGGAAAATATGAGAGGGGGATAGGGATGAGGAAAGAAACGAACACCTGTTCGGTTCGCCTCAAACACGGGCTTTTTTCTTTGGCTTAAAGTGTTCCCCAAAAAGGGTATTCGATGTTCGCCCGAACACGTTCGTGTTCGGGCCGCTGCTGCAATTTGCCCCACGACGAACACGAACATGTTCGAGGTTTGTCCGAACACGCCTTCACAGGCGAACGGCGAACGCCCTTTTTGGGGGAAGTCGTTCGGCGAACCGAACACTGTTCGGTTCGCCGAACGGCCATGTTCGTTCAAGGGCAAACGCGAACATGTTCGAGTTCGCCCTTTGCTCATCCCTAGAGGGGGAAGAGGATCCCCCCCCCACCCCCTTTTTTTTATTTTTCCTCCGTGTATTCTTTCTTAAGCTCACGTGGTGCTGTCTTGTTGCAGGTGGAGCAGAACGAGGGGCACTGGCGGCAAAAGGAACTTTGAGAGAATTGCTGAACCACACACGGACTCTTGTTAGGAGGGCATGTGATTGCAGTTAAAGACAAATTCCTGGATGGGCAGAAGGAAGAATTTGAAGAAAAAAAAGCAGAGAACATCAAGGTGCTTGCGAAAAGGTTGGTGATGGGTAAAAAAAGCATAGAATATCGAGGTGCTAACGAAAAGGGTGGAGCAAAGTTCCGTACGCGGAAGATCGAGCAGGTGGGCTATGTATGCTTGGCGTGCAGCACTTTAGGCAAACAAGAACAGCGCAATTTAATAGTCTAATTCATTATTGTTGAAAAAAAAAGACATTATCTTACAATGGATCAAGTTTGGATAGCTTGCCCAGAGTTGGAGGGAGTTGTCCTGACAGATTGGTTCCTTTGATTTCCCTGCATGTGGAGCGTTTTTTATTGCATATACAAAGCAGTTGTTGCACACGCATGGTTGGGTACACTTGTAATAAAATACAGAAACTTGTATGCCGATCTTTGTTGCCCTAAAAAAAAATGGTGAATCCTTTTGTCTTGTATGTTCTTGAAGGCAAATGGACATAATGGACATACAGGCAACTAAAAAACCCTTCTATCAAATCAATCTGAAGCCAGGTGGAGAAAAGTAGTGAATTCGTTCCTCATTTCCAATCTGTGGATCAAGATTGGATAGCTTGCCCAGAGTTGGAGGGAGTTGTCCTGACAGATTGGTTCCTTTGATTTCCCTGCATGTGGAGCGCTTTTTATCGCATATACAAAGCACTTGTTGCACACGCATGGTTGGGTACACTTGTAATAAAATACAGAAACTCGTATGCCGAACTTAGTTGCCCTAAAAAAAAATGGTGAATCCTCTTGTCTTGTATGTTCTTGAAGGCAAATGGACATAATGGACATAATAGGCAATTAAAAAACCCTTCTATCAATTCAATCTGAAGCCAGGTGGAGAAAAGTAGTGATTGTGTTCCTCATTTGCAATCTGATTGAGGCCCAAGCCTGGCATAGGGTTGACTTTGAGAGGCGACTTTTGAGTCGACTCAGAAGTCACAACCTTATTGAAGTCTAAGGCCAACGTTCAAGGAACAGTTCGAACCAATCCCCCGACTGGGGATGACCCGTGGGTAAGGGCCGGGTAGGCCAGGGTCGGCCGGGTCGAGTCGGGTCAGGTCAGGTCGGGTCGGGTCAGGTTGGGTTGGGTCGGGTCAGGTTGGGGTGGGTCGGGTTGGGTCGGGTGCTGCTCGAGAGACAACGTGAGGTTTCAGCTCCAGAAACAAGGCGTGTGGTTTCAGCTCAAGAAACAAGGCGTGTGGTTTCAGCTCAAGAAACAAGGCGTGTGGTTTCAGCTCAAGAAACAAGGCGTGTGGTTTCAGCTCAAAAAACAAGGCGTGTGGTTTCAGCTCAAGAGAGAATGGGTGTGCTTACAATCTTGTGAGCTGCAGGAAGTTGCCAATGGACTCTGGGATGCTGCCAGTCAGGTTGTTCCAAGAAAGGGCCCTGGTGCAGGCACGATAGTAGCAGGGAAGAAACTCCCAGAAAGATAAACACGGCCTATAACCAGGTTGTACTAGAAACAAGACAATAAATGTGTTGAGTCAACCTAAACAGTGATGAGTAAAGAAAAAGGCTATCACGATACTCTGAATTATGGGAATTCAAAGACATCAATTGAACAGTAAAACGAAGGCATGTGTGTCGATGACACTGTGTCATCACAGATAATATTCAGAGGCTTGTGAAGAAAATGCCCCACTGTTCATTAAATGACAGAACTTACAAGTCACTCAAATAAAGAAGGTTGCCTATCACTGTGGGTATCGATCCTGTCATTTTGTTTCCCCATAAAAATCTGCAATTCGTACCCCGGGGAAGTCAAGGAGCAATGCTGAGAACAAAGGGTGCTTAGCATGTATATATCTATATATATATGTATGTATGTATGTATGGGCCCACTCGCCTCAATTTTTTTTATGTGCCCAGGGCGAGTAGCAAAACGTGGCGTAAATGGCATTTCATGGATCGGTGAGATTAGTCATGAGTGCCAAAACGTGACTCACGAGTTGCGAGGTACTTTGCAATGCGTGCAAATGCAGTAGTATTGGTCCTGCCTCACACGTCAAACTAGGGATGAGCAAGTGGCGAACACGAACGTGTTCGTGTTCGCCCCGACACGAACACCTTCGTTTGCCGAACCGAACAGTGTTTGGTTCGGCGAAAACTTTGAGCAAAAAATGGTGTTCGCCGTTCGCCTGTGAAGGCGTGTTCGGGCGAACCTCGAACACTGTTCGTGTTCGTAGCGGGCAAATTGCAGCAGCGGCCCGAACACGAACGTGTTCGGGCGAACATCGAACACTGTTCGGCGAACACTTTAAGCCAAAAAAAAATACCTGTTCGGTTCGCCTGGAACACGTTCGAGGCGAACCGAACAAGTGTTCGTTTTTTTGCTCAACCCTACGTCAAACCAAGAAGGGACGCACTCACAATTCGTTCAGATTCGTGAGTCTGCCGATGGAGTCAGGAATAGGGCCTGTCAGGTAGTTGTAGCCAATGTTCCTGGCATTGCAGGGATGATGATGATGATGGGAGCATGACAGAAGGCACACGCACATGTGATGACAAAAAAGGTATCGGTGGCACTAGGTTACACGATTTAACAAGGAGCCGCACTTCCCTCGTCAGAATTGCTGAGATTTGGCTCCTGCATCTTTAGCTTAGCTAGTTTGACATCTTCCCACTTTTCCTTGTTATCGCCATCGTATTGAGGCGGTTTTTAAGGCGCCTAAAAAATCACCATCAAATAGCAGCATAGCATCTCTTACCATCTTAGCAGCATCGTGCCACATTTACTTGGCTCTGGCAGGACGACCACTGGCAATCACACATCTCCACCAACGAAGCTCTCAAAGCTAGCATCCTCACCCTTCACTGCTGCTATCCCTCCCGTATCCATCTCTCAGTCACGCCCCCCTATCTCCCCTACCTACACCCCTTCGCCTCTGACCACTGGTGCATTTTCCATGACCGAACGACCGAATGACCTACGGCTGAACATGAGCTAACAGAAAAACAAGAAACAAACAAGTGTGCAAGTTTCACGTGATCCCCAGTAGTTGATTTTGAATAGATTTTGTCATTGGGTGGGTGGAGCGTGGAACCAATGGGTGGGTGGGACGTATACAAGAGCCATCTGGCCCGTCATATTGAAAAGCTCACTCACACGGCCATCAATGCTTCAAGGTTGCCTATTTTCGTAGACACCGAGCCAGTGAGGTAGTTGTCTAGAAGATTACTGCATTTGTCGTGGAAAAAATGTGTAAAAAGGGGAGTAAATGCCTGGTTAGAGTTGCGAGCTTTTACATGGAAATGGAACGTTAGTGACGAATGAGTGATGTATGATACATAGGCGGCATGCACACGTGAAAATGCAGCGCAAAGGAGGAAACAGGTACAGCATAGTGTTGGAGTAGGCTAGAGCTCGCTCTGGCCTTTATTTTGGTGTTCTCTTATCATTCCACCATGCTAAGAGCGAGTTTTGCTTCCAGGTTCAATTTAGGTTCATTTCGTAGCTATAGTATAGACTGAACACACCCTAAGTTCAATTAGGGTTTCCAATTCCTTTCTAGTCTTGTATCTCGACACTTCTTTCCTAATACAATTCTCTCGCTACCTTCTCTCTCCCTAGCCATGGCTTCCATATTCCTAGCTTTAACATGGTATCTAGAGCCAAATCCTTGGCGTTTTGTCCCAATCTATATCTCGTAGTACGGTTTAGGCCTTAGGTATCCGGCGCGCCATCTTCTTACCTAGTCGAATTATATTTTCCCTACTATTTTGGCCCTTAATTTTCTACTTTTTTTTTTTCACTCGCGGTACATTCTATCCATCGCCCGCGGCCTCCTTGCCTAGTCGCGCGCCCTGTTCCGTCGTCGCGTTGTCCTCCCCCTGCCCCGCCTCGTCGCGCGCCCTAGCCACTGCCGCGTCGCGCGCCCTGCCCGTCGTCGACGTGCGCGGCCTTCCCGCCGTCGACGCCCGCGGCCTTCCTGCCGTCGACGCGCGCGGCCTTCCCGCCGTCAACGCGCCCGCACGTCTTGCCCACCGCCCTCTCTCTCCCCGGCCACCCTTCCCTCCCCGCGGCCGCCCTCCCTTACCCTCTCGTTGGCGTCCTGCCTCACCTCCCTGCAGGCGCCTTCCCCTTCCCTCGTGGTGCACCTTCTTCTGCCGCTTTTGCACCACCTCCTCCTTCTCCCCTCACCCCTTCCGCCTCTTCACCCTCCTCCTCCTCTCTTCATAAATTCCTCCCCTCCGTGCCTCTCCTCCCTTCCTCCACCTCCTTCCCCTCCGCCTCTGCCAACTGGCTGCGTGGTACTGGTTGCCACTTGGTGATCGTGACCCTACTTCCTCCCCACCTTCCGCCTCTTCACCCTCCTCCTCCTCTTCTCTCTCCCTCTATTCCCCCCCCCCACCCTCTAACCTCTTCCTCCGCCTCTCTTCTCTCCCTCTCTGCTGCAGCTGGTAGCTGTCTGTGTTTCAGCGCCAATCTTCTTCCACACCTTTCCTCCTCCTCTTGTTTCTCCTCTAAGCGGCACAGCAGCAGACTACTCCGCTGCTATCCCTCCTCCTCTTGTTTCTCCCCTCAACGGTGCAGCAGCAAACTACTCTGCCGCTTTCCCTCCTCGTATTTCTCCCCTCAGCGGCGCAGCAGCAAACTACTCCGCCGCTATCCCTCCTCCTCTTGGTTCTCCCCTCAGCGGCGCAGCAGCAGACTACTCCGCCGCTATCCCTCCTCCTCTTGTTTCTCCCCTCAGCGGCGCAGCAGCAGACTACTCCGCCGCTATCCCTCCTCCTCGTATTTCTCCCCTCAGCGGCGCAGCAGCAGACTACTCCGCCACTATCCCTCCTCTTGTTTCTCCTCTCAGCGGCGCAGCAGCAGACTACCCTACCGTTATCCCTCCTCCTCTTATTTCCCCCCCTCAACGGCTCAGCAGCTGACTACCTCCCCCCTATTCCTCCTCCTCTTTTATCTCCCCACATCTTCTTCATTATTATCCCCTCCTCAGATGGGGCCCCTTATCACTCTTCCCTCTCTTCCTCTGCGTTTCCGCCCTCGCCCCTCTCCCGCCGTACCTCCTCTCCTACCCTTGCCTTCCCTACTCTCCGCTCCCTTCGCTGCCCCTTCCTCCCCTTGCTACTCTCCTGCTTGTCGCTGGACCTCCCCTCTTCTCCACCCCTCTGCTTGGATTCCGCTGTCCCATCGGCGTCGCCGCTCTTCTGCCGCTATAACCTCTGGTATTGGTTCTTTGGCCTCTGTCTTCAGTGTGACGATGCCATCTCAGGATAGCATCCTTGGTGCTTCTCCTCTTATGGACCCTCGCTTTGTCGTTCCATTTTCTCCACCTCTTCAC